CCTATTAATTATTTGTTTAATTTTAAATAAAAACATCAAATTTTTTTTATGGAGCCAACCTACAGTAGTGGATGCTTATTACCTGCTTTTACTCCAGCAGATTTACTAGAGAAAATATTGTTTGACCATTTGCTGAAGAATGAGGCAAACTTAATAAATAAAGAACAAAATTTGCTAGAGACAAAAACAATGGATCTACTTAAAAACAGTAGGTCTGGCAACGCTGGAACGTTCACTCGAATGGGTGTCGTGCTACCTGTCTCCTTGCTTCCCAAATATACGGAGTGTAACATTCATGCATCTGTCGTCCTTGGGGTCGCCTCGGTGGTCTCCTGTCTCCTGACGCGCCTAGCGAAATGGTACCTTAATTGTTGCTGCATCCTGTTCTATTCTTACAATTGACAAAAAAAGATATAAAACAGCAGATTTAGAAGATAGACAATAAATAAAGCAACAATAAGAGGAGAAACAGGGTAAACTATAAACAACATAATTAGAAGAGGATATTGCTGAATCTCACAAGAAGAAAGAATGAATCAATATTATAAATTATGTTTGCTCACAGTTGTTGTTATTGCAATAATATTTTATAAAAAATATGATTCCTAATACCTTTGAATAGTCGCCATATTTAACAAAAATCTAAGAAAGTTCTAAAGCTAAATCTACTGTCGGTTTTACTAGTTTATAAGACAAAATCAATGTTAATTAAATATTTTTTATCATTAACAACAACAAAGAGAACAGGGAACGAAACGAGATATTTTGGGATATATAGAAGCAACACCTGCGTCCTCATGTAGAAAAATTGAGAAGGAAATTTGTGTGCCAAAAAATGACGCTCAGAGGATCCCGAAGAATTATAAGTATAATCCTTACAAATTTAATAGTGCAGACTTGTTATCTGGTCAGACGAATGCTTTTTTTAAGTGCGGGCATTTTTAATCGTCATAATACCAGAAATTGGCACAGTCAAAATCAGCATTTAATGTTTAAAAGGGCACAACAAGGACGCTTTGGAGTTGGGGTGTCATGTTTTATTTTGGAAAGTCATATAGTTTATAGGATTTTTGAAGGAGGTCTTACCTAGATACCTAGAAATCCTTGAGAAAGTTATTCCAGAACTGCTCGAAAATATTCCATTTCTTGATAATAACTTTCCTCAAAGATGGATAGGTACCAACAAACCTGTTAGATGCCGTCCACGAACACCATATATCTCAATTTTAGATTTTTTATAGGACTTTATACAAAATGAAGTATATAAAACATGATATGACGGCATTGCAGAATTTCTAGAGGCAATTTATTTAGCTTTTCGAAATCTGCGAATGAGAACAATGGTTCATTTAAACGCTATTCAAAGATGTGCAAGTTTTGCATTAGAGAAAATGAGCTTAAAAAAATGTTTTTCTTTTTTTTTTTAAATAATGTTATTTTTTTGTGTTTGTTATATTGTTAATTTAGGCTGCAAAACTGTTGTTACAAACTTACTGTTATAAAAAACTCTATAGGTATTTTTTTTATAAAAAGATACCTATATGCAAGGTATCCAATTCTTCGTTAGTGATATGTAACTTTCACTTGTTTATTATTGTTATCCATGGCCTACTATTAAATTATGCATTTAATTTTAGAAAATTGTCATTTATTTGCGTGTTTCTGAGAAAAAGTTTATACTATTACATATTTTTGAAAACGTGAAACAAAATCAAATTTTAAAGTCTATAAATATACAGTGTTCCATTTAAAAAAACATAAGTTCGCTTTATAACTCAAAAATAGTAAATATGTAACAAAAATTATCTACACCACTGCATTCTGCAGAAAAAAATCTAAAAGAATGTTATTTTACCTTTTCGATAAGTTGAAGGATAACGGAGATACGAGGGGGTCCCAAAATGCAACATTTTTAAAAATGCCCTGTATATTAAAATCTAAAGAAAATATGAAAATTTTGTTGCCGGCTTCTTTAGTTTAACGAAAAAGTAGCACAGTGTCATGAAAATCGCAACCCTTTATCTTTAAAAATAAGTACCCAAAATGGGACACCCCAAATACACTGCACCATTCACAAGAAAAAAATACGTGTGGCACTCGGGGACTGCCGCGGTAAAGCTATTGCATAGCATTTTTTATCAACTTATGCAATTATAATTATTTATTTATTTTATTTATGCAGTATTTTTTTTCTTTGATATCAATTCAAGTTTTTTCTTTGATATAAATTCAAGTTACACTTTTTGAGCATGGTGACCGATAAGAAAACAAATTTTTTTTATTTTATTGAAAAAATGAGAAATTAATATTGTTTTTTTTTTTTTTATTATTATTTGGTGTCATCGGCGTCGACTACTATGGCCATTAGCCTCGTGTTCTGTGTAGGTTTAAAATATTTTTATTATCTTACAATACATGTAGGTTATTCAGGAATTTTTATCATTGAAACTATAGGTTTATGGTAACTGAAATAAGAAACATAAGTTTGAGACTTGATATCTTCTAAATATCTGGAAAATACCGCGTCAATGGTGGTTCCATATTTTGTTGTGGTTTCTTGTGGATCATTATTCATTTTCAAATTCAATTTTTCCAAAAGAAAAGTTGTCAACCGCTCTGATTTTTTATCAGAGAAGTTGATGTTGAAATCGCCAGCCAAGATACGTAAGTATTTTCGACCCTTCTTCAGTGTACTCCAGTAAAATGCGATGAATAAAATGCTCTACCTCGTCCAATTTTGGATTCGGAGAAATGTAAGTTGCTACCATGACTGTGTGTAGGCCATTTCTAAGTTTGTATAAGCACGCAGCACGCACAAATATTAGACGATGCACTACTTTCAACGCCGCACCGCTGTGCAGGTCGGAGTGGGGGTGTTAGATTTATTTTCGTTACAGAATTTCTTGATTCGGTCGCCGCGCTCAAAGCCCGCGATAAAAGCTATGCAATAGCTTAAAAACAATAGATAAACAACAGACAAACGTAAAGACTTATTAGCTTACGTTTTGATGCACAGGTCAGGATTGAGATTTTTAAATCTGTAACTATCTTCTTTTTATTGAGTTTCTTGAAGTTTCTCTTTGTAGTTCAACGACTTATATACACAGTTGGGAAAAGGTCATAGAAAGAATAGATTTTTAAACAAGTGTTTAATGCCTTATTTAAAATATTAATTACAAAAATTCACAACAGTTTCCCAAAATTATTACCCCGGCCGTATTAAAATATTTATTACCATTACAGTTTCATTCCAGTTTACTGCGTTTAAAATTCCTCAAAATAATTCGTAGTTTCCTTTAGTTTTTTTTTTTTTTTTAATAAAATGTGTATGTTTCCTTAGTTTTCGTCGTAAAAACTGAATTCAAACGACATAAACTATTCTCTAAAATGTATATCCGATTTTCAAAATTAAAAATGCGGTGCTTGCAAAAAATGTAAAACACTTAAAATTATCATATTTTAAATTGTGCGTATTGGGAAAATAAATGTCACAATGCAAGATTAATAGTTAATTATATTCTACTACATTTAGAAAATGTATCCAAAAATATATTTGATTTCTTGGGCTGTATTGTTTTTTCTGGTATGTTCTATAAAAATGTATCACAGATAATAACCCTTCTATATTATTATTAGAGCTAAACACTTTATTTTATTTGTATTTACCATCGGGGTGGTAGAAGCCCACCAAATGACCACTTCCTGTCAAATAATATCGCACAACTACTTGTCGTAACACACGAAAAAAAAATAGGGTATCTACAAACAGCTCTCAGCAAAGTTGTTGACGAGTTGAAATATAACTTCTATATGCTCCTATAGGATGCACAATGCACATAGGCCTAAGTGATGGTGAAATGGCAACTCCCCCTTTCCCACCTTAAAAATAGTTTACGCAAGTCCAAAAACATCAAAAATGCGGTGAATTTACGAATATAAATTACCTACTCCAATAAGCATGATTTGAAACAAAGAATTTGTACTAGGTCATTAGCAGTCGAATTTTTGGGGCACCCTTTCTAAAAATATGCATTTTTGACGTATTCATTTATTTTCTAAGACACTGATCCTGGTATGATTACTTGGAAGTTGGAAAGGCTTTTGCCAGTTCTCCCACTTTATACACTTAAATTGACAGGTTGGCGGCGGATCTCACCGAAGTGGACGCGATACATTGGCGTACAAAATTATTTTATAGATGTTAATAACAATTTCGAGTAAATAGTTTAATAAATTGTGAATAGCTGTTGAAATTTTATAAAATTATGATTTGAATATTATAATACATATTTAATAATTATTTATAGTCCATAAATAACGGACAATACCGGACAATCGCATGTCCGGTTCCGCCGGTAACAATTTAAAATTACTTATTCTATGAAACGACACTGGCAGGTAAATATTACTGCTAAATTCTCGAAGCCGTCCGACGTGGTTTGACGTTTACCCCCTCTTTACCTACCAAAAGCCTTTCCAACTTTTACTTGCGCTAGACGAAAACTAGAGAGAAGCAGAATCGGTAATGGCCAAATTTCAAATTGTGAATCTCGACAAATTGATTGTATGTGGCGTCATTCGTAATTAACATTAATATTCTCTGGGTGTCAATGTTTTTCTACAAATATATATGAAACAATATCAAAAATTGTGAACAAAAGTGCCTAACATGAGAAGCAAAAAACATAAAAGCAGGATTTGCTTCTGAAGTTAAAATCTTTTACTCACAATCGGTTAGTAATCTGTTGTATATCTTCCTGGTTGTCCAGAATCATGTCTTATTTAACTGTCGGACATATTTATAAGTAAATAAAGATAATAATTTTATTATTAAAAGTGCCGTTCAATATGTAATTAGTAAAATAATTACCTAACAGTCAGATTGAACTAACTTGTTATATTGTCCAGCAATATCTCACAGATAACTTTAAAAAAATTATCAAATTATGATTAATACGAAATACTACTATTAATATTATTATTTGAAACATATAAAATTACTAACAGTAGATTGCAGTGGCGACTCGTGCTTTAGCACATAAGTAGTGCCAGGCCAGTGTATCACGCAGGCGCCCCCCCCCCCCCCAAGACCAAATTTTGACCCAAAAGACATTAAAAAACACGACTAGGAAATCTAGTCTTGGTTCTGTTTTACTAGCGAAAAGGTCAATAACTCGTTTGGTAAAGTCTTCAATGTTGTTGAGAAACACCTTTTCAGCTGATAACAATCCCAATGCGCTTGGTCTTTCTTCTTTCATTGAATTTCGTGCAAATGTTTTTATCCTCTTTAACATAGAGAAGTATTTTTTAGCTTCGGATGTTGACATAGATGTCCTCACTAAAACTGCCAGTAGCTTAATAGTTTCTTGAAAAATGTACTTCATATCTTTCTGTAAAACTAATGATACAAGAGGAACGGCTTCAGAAATGGTTTGCAATTCTGTTCTTTCATAAAGCATTTGAGTTCTGTTTTTAGACGATTTTTTTTTTAGAAATGGTTCTACTTTTACTGTATCAGAGAGCAATTTGTCAGAAAAGTTTTTTGGAATTCGATAAAATTTTCTTTCATTAATAATACGGTAGCTATCAGATGTCCTGTGATGGCGTTGTTCCACTAAACGGACAGAACAAAAACAAAACACAAACTGGCGTGTTTTACGACAGTTGGAGTTTTGTTTCTCGAGTACCGCTCGGAAGCGGTCAAAAGCTTTTGACGTGTTTTGAAACTCGAGTCTGTTTACTGGAAACGATCGTGTTGTGTAGTCTAAATTTTGTTCCAAATTGGTACCTTTAGAGGGAAATCCCACTCATGCGACACGTCGCGCGCGACTGATCGCGAGGCATCGCGCGCGGCAATACTTTAGATTTTCCTGCCGCACGCGGCCAGCGTTATCATGGATACATATGGAGCATCACTCATACAAACGTCAAGTTCCAGTAAAAAATGTCCGACAGTTGTATTGATATAGATGAATTTATATCCGATATTCAAGACCGACTTCAAATATTGAACAGTTAATTGAAATAAAAATCGACAAAAATATTTGTTCGGAAATCTGCGCTAGCATTCTGCAATATTTGAAGAACTTATCTTCGTGTTGACGTAAATTCTTAGATAATAATTTAAATGCGCCTTTTACATAAGGGTCTATAAATAATGGATGAACCCAGTACCTACGTCGTTTCAATTTTTTCCGCCGACGAACAAAATAAAACAACACCGTTGCTACTTCTTCCACCTCTATTTTGATATTGAACGTCTGTGTCGCTGCTTGTCGTCTGTTAAAAATCGCAACTAAAAAATCGCATGCGGCAGGTCGCGCGCGATGTGTCGCGTGAGTGAGCTTTCCCTCTGAGGTAAGTAAATAACGTATTTTTTTATAGATACGTAATTAGTAATAATTTATTTTGAAACGCTGGATAAATTTATATAAGTATATTTATATGATGTCACATACATCTTTTAAACTACTTTTATATGTATTTTCAATTTGGACCTATCTTAAAAAACAGATATATAAATATAAATAAATTATTGAAAAAATGTGTTCTGACTTCCTCGCAACAACCAGTGAAAGAGGACCGAAAACAAAAACAAAACTTTAATAAAATGTAGTCCGCTTGATGGAAATAGAGTTTTTGGTTTGTTTTTGTTTTTCAAGTTTCAGAAAACACAAACAAAACATAAAATAAACTGTCCGTTTAGTGGAAAATAGTCTTGAAAGTAAGTCGAGCCCTAACCTGTTGTATCACAACTTTCCAAGACTTTTCTTTATTTGTTGAAACAGATAGATCAGAACAAGGGTAACGTCACCTTTTCTGAGGAACATATTCATCTTCGTTTTCTAATAGATCTGAGTCTAGTTGATCAATAATTGTGTCCATTTCATCACGAATTTTTTGCATCGCATTTTCAAAGTTTATGTAGATCTTGTTTAGCCATGGTAGGGTCGGTATTAATCGCTTACAGTAGCTTAAAAATTATTTCTTCATGTGGCATGATTTTGTGAAACACTGTTAATCAAAATATTAAATCTCTGTTCTGTAATTTAAGTTTATATGCACCTATTCGCTCAATCGTAGAATTAAATTTAATATTTTTATCGTTCTCTAAAATATCCATATCTGCTTATTTCGGTACTCATAAACTGTACTAACTCCCCGTAATTAAAAAAGTTGTGATGATCTTAGTAATCGTCTAGGAGATATATCATCCAATACTTTTGTTTTTTTGAGGTGATTTAGAAAAAACAAAAGAACAAATTCCATTTAAATGAGCGAAAAAAAATCAAATAGACGCATTAATTGAAGCCGCACTGCTCATTATAAGGTTTATCTGATGTGCATAGCAATGTTCATAATTTGTAAAAGAATATTTATCTTTAATTATTTTTTGTACTCCATTTACAACTTCGCTCATTAATGATGTTCAGTTATAACTTTGTGCGATTAACTTATGTGGTGTCACTATTTTATTTAAAATACAATTTTCTATTGAACTGGCATTGTGTCCGGGAGAATTTAAAAATTTCAAAAATCTTTTTACTGGCATATTGGGAGGCAATGTGTTGTAGAATAATGACTGAAGGCTCTTCGCGCTCAGATATGGCTTGCACAGCAGTTCTGATCTAAAGGCAAGATTTAATCAGCCTATTTCACTCTTCATCTTCACATTTGACAAAAGAGAAAATGTCTAATGTGAATAAGATCGAGCACTTCAGGTTGAATTTTAGACTGAATCGATGGACTGTTTAGTTCAAATCTAACAATAAATATAGTTTAAAAAAACTAAAAAACACGCTTTTAGAGCATACCAAACTAAAAAGTTAAAAATAATTTTTCAAGTAAGCTTAAAACAATAATAAATGGAAAATACTAGTATTATTGTGAAAAAGGCGTCGGGCGCTCGATGTACGAGAAATATGGACAAAGCGCCCCCACACATACACATAACGAAAATGAAGAAACAATAATAACTTACCAGCATTTTGATGCACAAGATATGGAAGATTATGATGATACAGAAACTAAATTCTCATCCAATCTAGATTGAGAAAGATCAGTACAATGAAGTTTTTATTGAATAAAAATATCAACGAATTCAACAAGATAAAAGTGACAGAGCTACTAATGATGTGCTTATTATTGAAAAAGGATCAATAACGCCAGAAATTGAAGATTATGAAATAGTTGAAGGGCTTCCTGTTACAGGTAAGGGAATGTTCTAATGAATTATTGCATTAGTGTTTTTTTTTTAATTGATTATCTAATTTTGTTAATCAATTCTTAGCTGACGGCGAAATTAATGAATATACTTCAAACTACTACCAGGAACCTAAGGTTTTATACACAGAACCCGATCAATTTTCAGAAACCCATACAAAAGAAAAATCATTACAAAAAACTACGAATAACCTTAAACAACCTACGAACGTGAATAAAACCACCAGTACTAAAAAGAAGATCCTTTATTACACAGTTTCCAATACAGATCAAAAAGAAAATCTAAATTCTCTTTCAAATCCTCGCAGTTTATTGAAAAACAATTTGGAAAAATTGGCCAACGACGAGAATCTGAAAAGAATTCAAAGAGAAAAATTACTTGAGAGACGTTACGCTCGAAGCAAAGAAGCCATACAGGCCAAGATGTTTCACAATTTCATAAATAGAACGACCATTCCTGAAGCTCCCATCCGACAAACCCGACTACCAAGAAAATAAGAAATAAAACCAGTGGATACCAGAAGGGACGAGGAAATCATCGTAAAGGAAGTGATGGTGTCGTCTAAAGGTTTCATAGAAAGCGTCAGCGAAAGGTTGAAGAGTTTAGACAAATTAGAGGTTAGTTTTTTGTATAAAAAATAATAAAATTTAATGTAATCATTAAAATTCATCTACAGGTTACTAGTATAGTAGAACTAAGCGATTCCGACGAAGACTACGGTCCCAAAAACGGGACCAAAAAGAAAAAGAAACTCAAGAAGACCAAAATAACCAACAATGACACTTCAGATAACTCTGATGGTGGTAGCATAATAGAAATTATACAATCAGATGACGAACTTGAAAATTATTTTTAACTTTTTAGTTTGATATGCTCTAAAAGCGTGTTTTTTAGTTTTTTAAACTATATTTATTTTTCACTTTTTAGTTCGATGTATTATAAAAGCGTGTTTTTTAGTTTTTTTAAACTATATTTATTTTTTACTTTTTAGTTCGATTATAAAAAAAAATGGCTAAAAAAAATTTTTTTTTTCAGCCGTGGGGATTAGAACCCACGATCGGTGAGTCTGGCAATCGAAAACCCGCGCCTTAGACCGCTCGGCCAACGAATGAACTTGACTTAGTGGGATATACTGACAGTAATAAGCCACTTGAGTCCAAAGGAGAGTTACAAACATACATACATACAGGTGAAGCTAATATAAGCGTGTTAAAAAACGTAGCGTAAAAAGCACCTTTAATTGAAATTCGTTGGCGATATTGGTAGTTTCTTCGGCAATTACAGGTACATAATTAGCTTTTTTTTAATTTTTTTAGTCACTTCTTCGTGGTAAACTCCAAGCATGCAGTCCAATAATTCATTATGTATGATATTAGAGGTCCCTGTGAATACAGTTACTTTGTTAATCTGTTCCTTTAAATCTGTATCTAATTGAGAACTCAAATCTATCAATTCTCCAAGGCTAATTCTAATGTATCACAAAATCTAATGCAGTAATTATGTTTAAAATATATCTGTTTTTACCAACTCTTTTGTTGTGCTTAATATTATTTTGTCTACAGGCCGAACTTAATTGAATCATTATATTTGATTTTACGAGTAAAGAAAAACTAAAAATATTTTTTACGTTCTTTAATTTTCTCATAAATATGTACTAAATCAGTGATACCATGCGTCGTCCACGAAGAATCGCCTCCATATAAAAAAATGCATATTTTGATAACATCCACTAATTCAGTTATTTTTTAGCCTTCTGTGTTTTGGGATTTCTAAATCGAGAAGAAGTCTTCCAAGTTATTTGATTTGAATTTTGTCCTTGAGAGAGTACATATAAAAAGGTTTTAGTAACAGATTGCTTATTTTATTCATTTTGCCTCGGACGATTTATGAAGAGTAACTATATTTATATTTTTATAGAAAAGCTAATAAAATATTCAACTAATTTAAACCGGCCCGCCGATGCGTAAATGCACAATGTCAACATGCGACTGAAATAATCAAAAACTAATCGAAGCCAGTATTAAACCTAGAAAACGCGTACTTTCTGCATGTGTGACGTAACCGTTTTCAATATATTGCTAGGCTAGCGGAAGGACAATTTGAGATGTGACTAGAACGAAATATAGTCTAGTGAGTTGTCCGTCGCTTGAATTATTTGTTGTGTCTTGGAATAAAACAATGCGAATTTTTCATCGAGATTAAATTACAGAATGATAAATAATTTATACATGCATC